TGCTCAACAAACCGAACGGCGTCCCTTTTTGGCAGAAGTTTTGGGGTACCCGGTATTTTGTCTACCCTTTCTTGGTGCTCTTTCATTTGGTTGCGGAGCGTTTTGTTCTCGTTCTCCATTTCCTCCATCTTTTTCAAAATGGATGCGAGGGTGTCATTACCTGTATCATTAGCATTGTTAGTAATACTTGTTGGGGGGGGGGGGGTGTGCTGCTCGTCAGCTGCCGACGCAATGCCGACCCTTGCCTCTTCTCTGCTCGGCCTTTGAGCATGCTTGTCGAGGAAGCCGGTTAGCATGTTTGCCAACCACGCCTCGAGTAGCTTTTTTACTGCCGGTGGTGCCTCTTCTGTTGTGGATGTAGAGGCCCCTTTACCGTGCGAGGTCGTGATGCTACCGTGAGGTGGGGGCGGGTCGTTTCGCCTGGGAGAGGTGTTTGGTGTTATATCTTCGCCCTCAGTTTCATCCACTTCGTTGATGGTGTGTAGGAGGTTGGTGGTAAGGTCAGCTGTCGCCTTTTTCTTTTCCTCTCCATTGCCTGCCATGTTAGGTTTGTGCACACAAGGATGTATAGGGTTTTTGCAAAGTTTTTTTAGATCTAGAAGAAACTAAAATTTTAACTAGAAAATTCCCACAGACGGCGCCAAATTGTTTGACCAAAAAGTATGAAACCTTTTGTTAAAATAATTAAATAAGAAGATAATGGAAAAATTCTAGTTAAACATAATAAACCCTGGATTGAAGGAGTGTTTGCACAGATAACATGGAAATGCGTTGTCATGACCCAAAAACCGACCCGGTCGTGATGGCGCCTATTGTGAAACTAGGCCAGCCGACACAACTCCCAAATCAATCCATTATTCTATAAAAAGCCATTTTTAAGTCATTAATTAACAAGTAAACTCATAACATAAGTCTAAATAACCAGTGCGAAATAAATACACCAGTCCGACATCGGGGTGTCACAAGTCACGAGCATCTACTAAGGTCTGAATACAAAGAAGAGTCTGAAAATATACTAAAAACCATCTAAGGAGGATAAGAGGGAGAAGAGCAAGGCTGCAAACGCCGGGAAGCTACCTTGCTAACTCCGTTGAACCTGCCACTGAGTGATCAACACCCACTACCGGGTTCAGAAATACCTGAATCTGCACATAAGGTGAAGGGAGTAATGTGAGTACGCCAAGTCAGTAAGTAATAAAAGTAAATGAAAGCTGAGCAGTAAGAAAACAGATAATTCCACGTCACAGCACTACAGCAAATACAGTACATTTCCAAAACAGTACAGAACTCAATTATCTCGTAAAACAAATTCAATTTCAGTAAAACCTTTTCTTTTAAAACATCTTTCAATAGTTTCAAATAAGTGAAGAAACAGTGGGTCAAAATGATAGAAACGTAAACAGCCCCTCGGGTAAGACATGTACCATAAACCGCCCCTCGAAAAAAAATATCAACAGAACCAGCCCCTCGGGCTACCTCACAATCGCTCGTAATCAGCCCCTTGGGCAACAACATGAAATAACAACAGCCCCTCGGGCAATATCACATCACTCACACTGGCTACCCGCGCTCACTGGGGGTGTACAGACTCCGGAGGGGCTCCTACAGCCCAAACGCTATAACAAGCCATCTCGTGGAATAAATCAATCAGGCCCTCGACCTTATAATAACAAGCCACCTCGTGGCATAAATCAATCAGGCCCTCGGCCTCACAATATCATGAATCAGTAACAACTTGCTGCGGCATGCAACCTGATCCCATAATATCCTCACAACACAGGCCCTCGGCCTCACTCAGTCAAAACTCACTCAAGCCCCTCAGACTAACAGTAAAACAGGTATTCGGCTCAAAATATCATTTATAAAATCGAAAGGAGTAAATAAACCCGAGTAATGAAATCAATGAAAGCATAGCATGATTGAGTGTAAATGTTACCAAAAACAGTGAGGAAACAGTAGTAAAAAGCCCCTAAGGGTCCAAACAGTCGGCATTTAGCCCCAAACATAGTAATACTTTCCAAATTATAATAATATCAAACAGTTTCCAATTAAATACGTGACTTAATAGTCGTACGGGATGGACCAAGTCACAATCCCCAACGGTGCACGAGCCCACGCTCGACATCTAGCGTGTGCGTCACCTCAAAGTAGCACAACGATGTGAAATTCGGGGTTTCATACCCTCAGGACAACATTTACAATCATTACTTACCTCAATCCGGTCCAAACTCTAGCCCGCGATGCCTTTGCCTCTCGACTCGATCTAACCAAAATCAGTATCATACCATTAATACGCGCTAAAGGAACAAAGCCCAAGCGAAAATAATCAAATTAACTCAAAAATCCCGAAATTGTCCAAACCCGACCCCCGGGCCCACGTCTCAGAATTCGATAAAAATCACATCACAGGAATCCTCATCTTCCCACTAGTCCATACATATCAAGAACATCAAAATCGGACCTCAAATGGCCCCTCAAATCCCCAATTTAAACTCTCCAATTCCAAGCCCTAATTCACCAAGTTTAGTCCTTAAATCCCACAAATTTCATGTCTAATTAGTTAGAAATTATCATAGAATCGAGTACTGAGTTCAAAATCTTACCTCCAAGTGTTTCCCTTTGATTCCCTCTTCAATCCCTCTCAAAAAGCTTCAAAGCCGCTCAAAAATGGTGAGAAATGGGCTAAAAATCACGAAGATGGGTTTTTATACATTCTGCCCAGGTGCTCTCTTCATCGCGAACGCGACCTCCCTCTCGCGTTCGCGTAGGCCAAACTCAGACTGACTCCGCTTAACCCTTCGCGAACGCGACAACTGCGAACGCGATGCTTAACCAGCTCACACCTTCGCGAATGCAGACCTCACCTCGCGAGCGCATAGACCAAAGACCTGGGGTCCCCAACTGCCTCACTCCTCTTCGCGAACGTGACCCCAACCACGCGTCCGCGATGCACATGCTGCCTTAACCTTCGCGTTCGCGTCCTCTCCTTCGCGAACGCGTAGAACAAAATCACCACCACAGATGACACTCTTCGCGAACGCGATGAACAAAATCTCTGCAACAGAAAACCAGCAAAAACTGCTAACTCCTCAAGTCCAAAATGTCCCGTTGAGCATCCGAAACACACCCGAGGCCCTCGAGACCTCAACCAAACATGCCAACACATCCCATAACATCATTCAAACTTGTTCCAAAATTCGGAACACTCAAAACAACATCAAATCACCCTCGGATTCAAGCCTAAGAATTCTAGAACTTCTGAATTCCGCAAACGATCAAAAAGTCTATCAAACCTCACCCGAATGACCTGAAATTTTGCACACACGTCAAAAATGACACAACAGACCTACTCCAATTTCCGGAATTCCATTCCGACCCCGATATCAAAATTTTCACTGCCGACCGAAAAACGCCAAAACTCCAATTTCGCCAATTCAAGCCTAAATATACCACGGACCTCCAAATACATTCCGAACACGCTCCTAAGTCCAAAATCACCCGACGGAGCTAACCAAATCCTAAAAATCCAAATCCGAGATCAAATACTAAAAGTCAAAACTTGGTCAAACCTTTCAAATTTAAAGCTTCAAGCTGAAAATTGTTCTTCCAAATATGTTCTGATTATCCTGAAAACCAAAACCGACGATCTACATAAGTCATAATACACCATACGAGACTAGTCATGCCCGAGAACTGGCGAGCGAAGTGCAATTGCTCAAAACGATCGGTCTGGTCGTTACATGCATTTTTATCAATTTAATATAGCGGGTATTAAAAGATACTGTTATAAATGAGTGGGAGAATAATGATAAGCAATAAATATATTAAATGGCAATAAATGTAATTAGAGAAGATGATTCACCCAAACATTGGATGAGGTGGATGATTCTTCTCTCTGACAATGATGTAAGACAAATGAATATGAGAATATAGAGAGTTTTCTCGGATCTAATGCGAGAAATATGGGATAAACAACAAATCGAATCTTTATGAAAATGCAATATTTGTATTTCTCTTGAGAGTCAACTTTTCATAAGAGTTTTATCATATAGAATATTACATGCCCCTTTCTTCTCTCTACCTTTCCCTTTATATGGGACTTATCCCTTACCTAACATAAAGTACAAGTGCAGAGAATATTCTCCTGAAATATCTTGCTACAAAACTAGCCGTTATGGCCAACCTGAGTATCCGACCTCGACCCCAGTTACTCGGCTCGCCAATTGGTTCCTTTTATCTCGAGTACGACCTCGGCCTAATCGGCTCTTAGTAATCTACCTTTGAGCAAGATTTCCTTGGTCAGATTTCGATCCATACAGAGTTATCTTTTGTTTATACGGTGAACCAAACAATCGCTAATATAATTAAACAAACGAGTCCAAACATGTTTTTTTCTTTTTTCTTTTTCAGTAGAAGCCAATAGCTTTTGCTCTATATTTTATATACTACTATTCCTTCCGTTTCAATTTATGTGAACCTGTTTGACTGGGCACGGCGTTAATGAAAAAATGAAGACTTTTGAAATTTGTGATCCTAAACACTTAACTTAGGGAATAGAATAGGGGAATCTAAATATACAACTATTTTATATACGATCTAGAGTGATATAAAAAAAATTATGGTTATAAAAGCTTCTCATTAATAAGGGTAGAATGAGAAGTTTAAGCTAAATTGTTTTCAAATTTAGAAAGGGGTCATTTTTTTAAAACGGAACAAAAATGAAATATGTTCGCATAAACCGGAACGAAGGGAGTACTTCTTTATCCTACGTGGCAAGTAAAAAGCTGACAAAAGCGAGAGCAAAATGTACACGTTGGCACCTACGTCAGTCTGACTGGTACAACATTAACACGTCAACGTTAATTGGTCGCGGTCCGGTGGGTGGATTATGCTTCATGTCTCTCAATACTCCACCAGTCAATAGTCAAAGGCACCATATGTGCGACAGAGCACAGCCAAGAATTATAAATCTTACTAGTAATTAGAAATTCTGGTTTTATTTAAACCCTAAGGAAGTTTCTGCTTCATTTTTGACCACCAACTAAAGTATTCCTGTATTTTAGTGGAAAGTACTTGGTCTAGTACTTTTCTCTTAATCCCATTCTCCTTGGAAAATAATCCTTAATACTCCACTATGTGCCCTTTTGTCCTTATTTTCTCTGGACCATTCTCTTCCAACAAAACGCGTAAATGTGTAATTTTCTTTTCAGAAACTCTAGTTTTGATATCTTGTCATCTCATCCTCCCTACTTTTTGTTCTTGTCCTGACTCAAAATATCTTTGATGAGAGGGCTCCAAGAAACAAGAACAATCTTGGCTCGAGGTTTCATATGCTTTCTTGCTTCTTCATCTAGACAGTCTGTTTAATCCCTTTGCCCATATCTTTATGTTTAGCACTTAAACTTTGGTTTTGTCATGTTACTGTTTCAACATTTTATTTAACAGTATTTGGCTGTTGATGTCTTGATGATTGTCTATATATTGTTGTAATCATGTGATTTGTGGATGTTTGCCTTAGTTTCTGAGTGAATTTGATATATTTTCATGTCCATCCACTGATACCTACTAGTCTTTTAATGTTAGTGACCATAAAAGGGTTTAAGAGAAGTATCCAATTTTGTCCTATTTCATTAGAAGTTCTTGGGCTGTTGAGGACTTGAGGTTAATCTATGAGGTATATTCTAGCTACTAGTCTTGGTTTCTGAATTTCTGACCCAATCAGAAAACATATAGAAAGAAAGGGGGTGGAGAGGCCTCTTGATTACCTATTTCATCAGAAAAATAGAGCTTGAGGTTGGTTTCAAGATTCAGGAGGAAGGATCATCCAAAGTTTAGACTTTTAAGCCTAATCAACCTGCTCTAACTTTTGCCTGGAAATGGATGATAATAAATCAGTGGTCACAGTTCTTGATGGGGAACAACACATAATTGCTGCAGCTCATCACCTTGTGAAGGCGTTACGAGCCAGTACGAGCTTGAGTGTTGAAGTTAGAAGAAGTCTAGCAGATCTTGACATTCATTTGGCTGCAATGACTGAAGCAAAAGAAGATGAGACCACAAGTCTCCGAGAGATTGAAGGTAGGCTCAAGTCAGCTCAGGTAAAGATCTTGACTTTGCAGTCAAATTCTTTGAAGATTTGGGATGTTGGTCCTTCGCAACTTCTTGAGTATCTGCAAGCTGTAGAAGAAGTTCGAAATATAACACTGAGCTTGGAAAGCATGGTGCCAAACCATAACGGAAAACAAAACAGACTCGCTAACCAAGCTCACAGTGTGTTGCAAATGGCAATGGCAAAACTGCAGGAAGAAGTTATCAACATTCTTGCACAGAATAAGCTGTGTTTTGGGCATGATCATGTGTCATTCCACTCGTGTGAAGAGTTCGTTGTGGATGAGGAGTCGATGGTTTCAACTGAAAATGACTCGGTTGTGGGAACTTCTTGCAGGGAGAGTAGTGGAGCTGAATCAGAAGAATGTACAATGGATTTGGTCCATCCATATGTTGTTCCTCATATCAAGTCTATTGCAAATGTAATGTTCGCTTCACATTACGATCAGGAATTTTGCCAGGTCTTTATCAGATTCTGGAAAGATGCATTGCATGAATACTTAAGGCTTTTCTGTATGCAACAAATCAGCATTGAAGATGTTCTGAGAATGGATTGGACTTGCTTGAATTGCAGAATAAAGAAGTGGCGCCAAGCCACAAAGAATGTCATTGCATTCTTTCTCCCTAATGAGAAAAACCTCTTTGATCAACTTCTAGGTGAGTTTGGATCTGTTAGCTCAACCTGTTTCATTGAAGCTTCAAAGGATGCAATGTTGTGTCTGTTGAATTTTGGCCAAGCTGTAGCTATTGGCCCCCTTCGACCAGAACGCCTTTTTTGTTTACTTGATATGTATGAGCTTCTAAGAGATCTTTGTCAAGACGTGGATGCTTTGTTTTGCGAAAATCATGGTAATTTTATTAAAATAGAATACCATGAACTCCTGAAAAATCTTGGAGATTCTGCAAAAGCAATCTTTCTGGAGTTGGGGAATCACATCGCTTCAAACACTTCAACAACTCCCTTCTATGGAGGAGGTGTTCATCCTCTTACCAAGTACGTTATCAATTATTTCATGCTTCTTTCAGAATATTGTAATACCCTGAGGTTCCTTCTTGAGGACAGAGAGGTACAGAATTTGGAAGGTGTTGTTGATGCTATGGCCAGGCTCGACGTTTCTTCTGAATTCTCATGTCCATTGGCTCTTCACTTGCAGTCAGTAGCATCTACACTTGAATCCAACCTTGACAAAAGGTCCAACCTATATAAAGATGGTTCTTTAAAGCACATCTTTCTGATGAACAACATCCATTACATGGTTCAGAAAATCAAGAACTCCAAAATTAGAACTTGTTTTGGTGATGAGTGGATAAAAAAACGTATTGTAAAATACGTGCAGCACGAAAAAAGCTACGAGAGAATAACATGGAGTCCTATCTTATCTCTGATTACCGGTTATGAGAAATCAGGAAAGACAGTTCTCAAGGAGAGGTGCAGAAATTTCAGTATTGCTTTTGAGGAAGTGTACAAGAACCAGACAGGATGGACTATCCCAGATATTGAGCTTAGAGAAGAATTGAGAATTTCAACCGCGTTAAAGGTTGTTCATGCCTACCGGCCATTTGTTGGACAGGTGAAGAAATCTGTAAGTGACAAGCACATCAAGTATACAGAAGATGAGTTGGAGAAGTATCTCTTGGACCTTTTTCAAGGTTCAACAAAATCACTGAATCATCATCAATGGAGAAGGTGAAAGTTGAATAATGGCTACAGTGTATGCTCTATTTTCATGCACTCAGCAATCCATTGCCAAATGTATAGCTGCCTATACTTCTGGAGTTCATTATAGTATTATGACTTTATGGTATAATAGTTTATGCGTGCATTTTAATTTGATGGTTTCAAGAGAAAATAGGTGGTCCAATTCATCAAGTTCTTCCCTTGGTACTGGTATATTGTGTTGTTGTAGATGATAGATTAACATACCAGTTTCTGTGAATGACATTAGCATTGTTACTCTTTCTGTCCCAATATATTTATCTAGTTTAACAGTCCACAATGAAAAAATATTCTACTAAGTAATTATTATTCAGTGTGAATTAGTGTTTCATCTACGAACTACCCCTGAATCCTAGTTGGATCGCACTATTTGGTTCTATTTGTCCCAAATTCAACCGATGAATTTACAACAACAACCATCCAGTAAAATCTCACTAGTGGGGTCTGGGGAGGGTAGTGTGTATGCAAACCATACCCCTACCCCGAGTAGTAGAGAGGTTGTTTCCGGAAAACCCTCGGCTCTAATTTAGGGAAAATTACCACATAACCGCTCTCAAAATAATAGCCGAATATATATATACATTTCTCTATGGTATATATAAACAAATATACAAATTATATACACTTTTGTAGCTATCAGATATAAATAGTTTCGACCACGTGCTAAAATAGATATTTGCCCATGAATTTACACTGATCGTCAACCTATCACTGTTCTTCACTTATATCCGAGCTTGAAACCACCTATGGGAAGCTGACATAGGTGATATTTTCATCTGATTTAATATACTTTTTAAAGACCACTGAGCTTTCAACTAAGATGTAGCTGCTAGCGGAATGAATGGTTAGATGTCATTTCTTCTAAAATTGACCTAGCAATGCTGATGATAGTGGTCACTTCGAGCCATAAAGATTGGAAAATGGAAGACAAATTTAAGGTATTAAATTCTGAAGACAAGCCTAACAAAACAGCGACCAAGTAAACATGGTCGGCTTGAAATCTGAAAAGACGGTGCTAAGATTAGTCCTTTTTAAGTCATGATGGCATTAAACACAGAAATAAAAGGGACGACTTGTTTGAGCACGTGTTCTACAGCAATTATCAAGATTTAATACTATATATTTTCTTTTCTCTATTGATTTCAGCCGCTATACTGCTTCTGGTTTTTGTCAGCCACAAGATCAATTTCGTTCTACCAAATCATATTGATATATTCCTTTCTCGTTGTTAATCCTCTTCCCTAATTCAGTACCCTGAGGCAGAGCGGACCTATATGTTATAGAGGGATTACCGGACCCCGTAAGGTTCGCAACAATCTTGTATATGTATATGTATATACCTTGACAATAGTTAATTTAACGCACTTAGCACCTTGATTCTTTTAGGGGGCACTCGTTGAGTAGAATATTGTGCCCCCGTCGTGTAAAAATCCTGGGTCCGCCTCAGCCCTGGGGCTGTCATTGAGCATTTGTATGATTGTATCATTAATGCCTCATAATCAATGTGAAAGTCGTCCCAAGTGTTCTCCCTTGTACCTGTACTATAGTTCTATACTCTAAAACCATTGATGGTGTGGAAGTCTAAATTCTGTAGAGGGAATAGTGGTCCAAGGGGGGAAGGCTAACAACAACTGGTGATTGAAACATTTACATTCAGTTTACATGATTCCTCTACACAAGGGATAACGAACTACTTAAGTTAAAAATTCAACATGCTAAGTATTAAAAAACAAGTAAGAATTAAGCAACAATTCAAGAGCACTATTGCATTTAACAACTCAATCTGCAGACTAGAGCTGGTAATTGCAGGAAGTACTTAAAGCATGTATAATTGAGTATAAAGTGTTGTTGGAGGTATTCAAGTAACAAAAACAAAACCTCGTAATCATTGAGTGATCAGATCACGTAACAAATGATCTGGTAACCTCATGTTCAGTCTCATACAATCTCTCCAGTATACTCAATGCATCATAATTCTTTTTCAAACAAGAAGAAATTGCAGGCCTAATGGAACTTAGTCATCTACAGGCAAGTGCAGCTTCTCGAATGCGTTTGTGATGACTTTTATACAAAAAATACACACTTCTCTCAGTAATCATACTTTCCGTAGTGTCAAAAAACAATAAAATCCAGATACTCATCTGCCAAGCAATCACAAGTCTAAGGAACAAACAGTGTAATGAAATAGGCTAATTGACATAGTCAATTTGATAAAGAATGTAATGGAGGCAGAGCCAAAATAAGATGCCAACTCCAGCTTTAGAGACACCAGATTCTCCTTGGCATTTATCTTTATGTCCCTTAATATACTCTCCTTTGTTTCTGTTTCATAGATGAAATTACTCCTACTAACTTCCTTGGAGAATTTTGCAGTAGAAGTTCATAAATAATTGTTGAATTTCCATATTACCCTTTTCTCAATAAGGGAAATAAGGATAAAGATGTGTTAAACGCTTAATGTACTAGTCACAGTTCCGAGCCAACATTATAGCTCAATTGACTATAGCTTTCAAAAAGAGCACAGGTTTTCCTGATTTTCTATTTACATTCTTTCAAATGAAGCAAATTACTTTCCCCAAACACAGTGGTCAGGTACATTACTGATGAGTCATGTTGTTTCAAACAGACAATCAAGATTCAAAACTTACTTTAATAACAGAACAAACAATATTTTCTGCTGAAAATTTGACAATAAAAGTGCCATTTCATATCCCAAAGTCATGGTATGATTCTATTCAAAGCTCATTTCCTAGGAAATGGAAAGAAGGAACTTCCCCTGAAAATTGTCAGAAGCACTCAAGCATTTGATGTTAAAATACGAAGTTCACAACATAAAAGTAACAGAGTAAAGACAAAAGGGAAGCGAAGATGAACAATCTTGTGATTTTGTATCATCTTTGTGTTTGTAAAGTTCAATCATTTTCATTGATTTTCATGACTTCACAAAGACAAAGGTGATACAATATTAATCAAGATTATTTTTACATATATCGAAGATATCAATCACTTCTGAGTGATCTAATAAAAAATACTGTAACACTACTAGAGATGTTCGGTCTTATTGCATCCTAGACAATCGGTTATGTTCAGAATTAATATAACCATTCCAGCCATACTTCACATTCCTAGCCCTCCCTCTCTCTTTAGCTTGATTGACAAGTACTTGCCCTAGTTTTCACCATGCCAATGCTCAGAGCATTGGCACAACCGCACAAGTCATCTTGTGCTTTCTTAAAATCAATTTCTTTCCTGCTTTAGGTTACTGGTCATTTAAAGCGTGATGGCAGACTGGCAAAGCAAGATACCGATATTTTACGTCATGTGCCAATTATAAAAGACGTTTCTATGATATGTATGCACCACCATAAAAAGCATAAGCAATGTATCGACATGTTCGCATATAATGGTTTCTAGTGTCTGATTTGCTCAGTACATAGAACCACTAGCTCGTATGTCCCGTTCTCATATCCATGGCGTATGGCTTCTGTATGTCTTTCATCATGAACCACTACCTGTTTCTTTTATTTCACACACACACAAAAAAAAAATGCTACCGCTAATGCATCCACGCTTGCAATTCGACCAACTTGGAACAAACAATAAAAAAGATGTTATAACAGATATGAGTGAAGAATTATTATTGCTTGAAAGTAGTTCCATTATCAATGAGGAAATAATGTTCCTAAAACATCAACAGGTTCATAGAACATTGTACAACAAATGTCTCGAGCAATAGCCGAGTTAATAAGTAAAACAAGACACCTAGCATAACGGACACAGGAAGAGCAGGCAAAGCTTTCTGATAAAATGCAAGAAGCATCAGAGTGATACCAAGACCAGCTATAATAGTAAGGTAGCATGCATAAACTGTCATGAAATCGTACATGGCAGCCCTGGCTACTAATACACTGTAGAATATGAAGTCTCCTAGCCCCAGCTTAATAGCACCTGAGGATCCCAACCCGATTCCTTCAAGTGCAAAATCATCATTTGACCCTTCCTGTAAATTCATTCTGACATTTATCCTATGTTGAATCAGCGGCGCAGCAAGCTCAGACTCAGCTCTTAAAACTTGACCGTCCTCCACATCAACCCCATTCCTCTCATTCTCGTCACTGCCGATTGGCGTAAACCTTTCAAGACCAGAATTCGGTTCGAAACTTGAATTGACAGTTGCATTCAAGTTAGACCTAGAGTCTAAATTTTCATTGGAGCCGAAATCATTGTCCCGTCTTTCTCTCCACACTCTCCTTTGCACAACAGCACCCCTTGGAACTGAATCATGATTAATAAGCGGCCTAGCCTCGTACACCAAAGCAGGGATATCTTCATCCCTAGATATTGCAAGCTCAACAAGTAGCCTTAGGGGCCCACCAGGCAACAAAACAGCAGCAAGGTCATATAATGCCATTGCAACCAAAAGCACCCAAGTAGTCCATTCAGGCAGCATTGTAAACCAATAAGCAACCAACACTCCAATAACAACCAAATATCCTTGAGTAACTATAATTGCTGTCTTTGACATAAACACAGCCAAAACCCCAACAACAGTGAAATTGAACAAACTCAATGCAAAAGTAATGCAATCAATTGGAATTTTGAATTTTGATATCAAGAATAAAGATATTTCACCACCCATGAATCCCAAAACAAGACAAGACGAGAAACCCATGTAGTATTTCAAGAATTTGGTGCATCTGAAGTAGAAAAGTAACACCAAAAGGAATGTAACAGCGGTAACAACCACAACAAAGACCAAAGCATTCAAAAGGGCACCTTTCAATTTGTCCCACGTTGAGTCTGAGCTGCTCTCAGTGTAAGCAATTGTGGCTACAGATGTAAATGAGGGGCCCGAGGAATCTGAATCAGTGTTTAGTACTGAAACAAGAATGACCACCATAAGCATGCAGATTGAGACTGGTATAACGATTCTAACTATTTCTTCACCCAGTGAATCAAGAACGCTTTTGGGCTTTGGATTTTGCTCCATTGGAATTGGAGCTCCAAAATTTGCTTTTTGATTTTCAATGGTCAGTTGATGGTGAGAAAATTTGGGTATTTCCAATTTCGACTTTGGATCTCCTAATAGATGTCAAATTAGCCCGACCCGAGTTAGACCCGAATTCCGAAGCTGGCCTAATACATCAGTCTGGCCCAAACTCGGGGAGAAATTCAAAAATACCCAGATTTACAAGTGGTAGGTCAAAAATAACTCAGTTTCAAAAGTAATCGAAATCTAGCCATTTTTCATGTAAAGATAAATCTGAGCGAAAATACTGTTCAAAACCCGAAAAATACGTCAGTATATTATGCTGGAGTTCCAGCATAAGTATACTTGAACTCCAGCATATTATACTTAGGGGTGTGCATTCGATTTATCGATTCGATTTTGACCCTTATCGATAATTACTTATCGATTATCGATTTGTACATATGCTTATCGTTATCGTTTCAATAAGGTTTCGATTTATCGATTTTTGGGGCTTATCGATTACACCAATAAGAAAATTTGCGGGGTTCCACGGAAAGTATATCACTATAAACACGCCTAACTAATATGGACCAAAAGAAGCTAAAATAAGACGAATACCGTTTATAACATAAAAATTGTGTCAACAAGCACATGCAACGAAACTAAAGTAAGGGATCAAATGTATGCCACCAACACTCCAACGGTATAAAAAAAAAATACATCATCACGGCTATTCTATTTTCCATTAATTTGAACTTCATTCCCTTGAGCTTTAAAATGATCATTCCTTAAATGTGGTAGATGAAATAATAGGGTTAGGGACTTAGGGTAAAGGAAAGGGTATTACAGAATAAGGGCAAAAAAAAAAAAAAATTAAAAAAAAAAAAAAATAATTTTTTTTAGTATTTCTTATCGGTTTATCGATAAACCGAAGAGGACAAAATCGAAATCGAAATCGATAACTCGATAAGGAAAATTTCGAAATCGAAATCGATAAATCGATAAACCGATAACAAATAATCGATTCGATTTATCGATAAACCGATTCGAATGCACACCCATAATTATACTAGAGTTCCAGGATAAGTATGCTGGAACTCCAGCATAATATGATGGAGTTCCAGCATAAGTACACTAGAACTCCAGCATAATATACTGGAGTTCCAGCAAAGTATACCGGTCCAGTATAATATGCTGGAAGTTCATACACAAGTGCCCGAATCTCCAGTATATTATGCTGGAACTTTCCGTGTGTTGGAGTTCCAGCATAATATGCTGGAAGTTCATACACAGGTGCACCGAACTCCAGTATATTATGTTGGACCGATCTCTGTTGCAGCAAAATAGTGGCTATTTTTTATTGACTTGGTAAACACTGGCTATTTTTGAATGACCAGTCCGAAAATTGGCTAGACCGTGCTATTTTAACCGAAACTCAGTAAGGAGTTCAAAACAATTAATCTCATGTTTCACGGATTAGCTTTAAAATTCAAATATAGCTATAAATAATAAATTTATTAAAAGTTTAGCTACGAATGATAAACATAGCATTTATGTTTGACGTATCGTGTAGTTTTCCCTATTTTAAACAGGCACTACACCGTAAGAGTCGTTTAGTTTGTGGGATGGACAATAATATTCCAATATGGGATAATTATTCTCACATTTTTACTATAAGATGATTCTCGAGATTAACTAATACTCATACTCAAACGCGAAATAAAATAATCTCGTACACTACTAGAAATCCGGAAAAAAGCGACCACAAAAAGAGACTAAATTTGATCGCTTACAGGTCAAAAAGCGACCAAAAAGCGTCCAAACTAGCTTGGTCGCTATTTTGCTGGTCCCTTTACCTTAGAGACCAAAGTTGGTCGCTAATTAGCGACCAACTTTATTAGCGACCAACTTTGGTCTCTACGGTAAAAGGACCAAATATTCCGGGTAAACAATATACTGACCAACTTTGGTCGCTTTAATATTTTAATAATATAAATTTAGCGACCAAAGTTGGTCTCTATATTTAAATTATGTTTTTTTATTTATTATTAATCAAAATATAGCGACCAACTTTGGTCTGTAAACCAAATATTATATTTTAAATCTGGAAAATAGCGATAAAAATTGGTCGCTTTTTTTTAATTTTTTTAAACCATAAGTCGACCAAATTGGTCGCTAANCGACCAAAATTGGTCGCTATTTTTCAGATTTTTTTTTAAATAGAATAGCGACCAAAGTTGGTCGCTTTTTAGGAAATCTGGGTTAATTAGCGACCAACCGTGGTCGCTATTGCCCAGAAAATATTTTTTTAAATAGAAAAGCGACCAAAGTTGGTCGCTTTTCTATGTATAATTTTGGCAGAAACTGCCTGTTTTGGCAGCTACACCACCTGGTAGCATACCAAATTCCTAAATAACAATATAATTCAATTCATAAACTACAATTTCAATACCAAATCTCCACAACAACCCAACAACAACACCACCACCACAACAACAACAACAACAACAACAACAACACAACAACAACAACAACACAATTCAAAAAACACATTAAAACCAACAAATTAAAGTTCAATAGAACTAACAATACTAAGTTAATGCTTATTACACCTAGTTCATAACCGTTCTATTTGTCTAGTTCAAAGTATATAAAAGTCAAGGAGTGTTTTGTACAACATCATTATCATCACTGTCTGATGAACTTTCATCACCAAGATGGTATGCAGAAGGGTCTACTTGTCGAGGACGGGAAGAACGATCACGGGGAGGATAGGAGGAACGAGCACGGGGAGGACGGAAGGAACGCTCACGTTCAAGTCGAGCCTCTGGCGATGACTCACGAGACCGAGGAATCGGAAAACATCCAGAAGCTAGGAGAGATTTGAGCTGCTCTTGCATGCCCTGGTACTGAGCTTGCATGCCAATGTACTGAGCATCTTTAAGCTTTTCTCTTTCTTTGGCCGCTTCTAACTCGGATGTGAGCTTTAGCACAATCTCCCGCATAGCGGAGAGGCTCTCCCCATCAAGTTGCTCGCCTTGCGAGGAAGTCTCTATTCCTTGCATTCCACACTTATAGCGATGGAATTTCTTCGTAGGAAGCCCGTATACCTTCCCCCATTTTGGACCGCCAGCAGCCTCCGTCCACATTCTTTCAGCATCCTCGTCCGAAGGTTGGATTGGCTCGCCCGACTCGTTACGTGGCTGACTGCGTATGAATTCCTCCACTTCAGCTGTGAAGCGACCCTATAAGAAAAATTACATTGAATTAGTATTTCAAAATTTATATAAAAGTAAATTAAAATACTTAATGAAAAGTGAAAACTTACATGTACAGTCGAGGCTCGGCCCTCGACCCACCTTTCTTGATCCGTCTCTTTCTTCTCTTTACAATATGAGTCTCCTTGAATAGCTTATCTTGGTTCATCGGACGCCCCAACTTCTTTTCGGATTACGTGGACCGGAGATAATACAATTTAAGAATATATATGGACTAGTCATGCATATCTCGGGTGGTAGATTATAAGGTGTAAGAAAGACATGCCAACATGAATATGGTGTCGCAGATACAGAAAAAGGCGTGAAGCCATCCGCACACAGACCTAACCGAATGTTCCTTGGTTCAGTAGCAAAATCTGGATATGTCCTATCAAAGTGCTTCCAAGCTTCTCCATCTGAAGGATGACACATAACACCAGGTGGTCTTCTATTTTCAAAGTGCCATCTCATATGAGGAGCAGAACTCATCGACGCATATAACCTCTTTGACCTAGGTATAAGAGGTAAATAATGCATCGCCTTGATAGCGACCATATTCCCGCCGGAAAGCCTCTTGAAACGAGGCTTTTTGCAAAATTTACAACTGCTTAAATTTGCATCATCTTTATAATATAACATGCAACCATCTTCACAACAATCAATTCTCATTGACGAAAGTCCTAACTTAGAAACTAATCTCTTTGCCTTATAGAAATCACCATGTAATTTGATATTAGGGTCAACTAGTTCACTCATAAGGTCAATGAAAGAGTCCATGGCTGCTTGAGAAATATTCCAATCAGATTTGATACTTAGTAATCTAACTGCAGCAGACAGCTCAGAGTGCGGACTTCCATTACGTAGTGGACGACTAGCTTCCTCTAACTGTTCATAAAAACGTTTTGCGTCATCATTAGGAGTTTGTTCAACATTTTCATTGGTCTCACCCCCTAAGTGCATCCCAAAGCATCCGCAACCATATCATGAATTCTAGAATCACGATTTGTATTCTCCACTGACCTACTACTTTCACCCACATGTTATGAAATATCTCATGGCTACCATCCATCTCTCCATGATTAATCCACACAAAGTAATTTGCTATAAACCCCTTCCTATAAAGATGATGCTTAACTTCCGCCGGTTTTCCAAACTTCATACAGTCGCACCTAACACAAGGGCACCTAATTACTCATTCACTTAGGTATGGTGGAAGTGACATTGCATGTCTAATAAAGTCATCCACCCCTTCTACAAAATCCTCCCGCAATCCCTGCCGATTAGGATAATTGCTATTGTACATCCAAGTACGATGTTCCATCTATACAAATAAAACAAGAACAAATTAATTTAGTTAATTCATATCCTAATCTTTTTTTAGTTAATTAATTTCATATCCTAAAATTTCAATTCATATCCTAAATTTCAATTTATAAACTAAAAGTTCAATTCATAAACTAAAAGTTCAATTCATATTCCAAAAGGTTCAATTCATAAACTAAAAGTCCAATTCATATCCTAAAATACTCAATTTATAAACTATCAAGACAATACAAAGTATAATTCAAATCTAACTAAACTAAATTCAACACTAATTAAACTAATTAGTTAATAAAATTAATTAACAAAGCTAACTAAAACAAGACCTAAACCCTAATCCTCAATAAAATACAATGTTCAAAGAATTTAAACACTAATTCATATCCTTAAACTACAATATTGAAATAATTGAAACAAAAACTAGAAATAACAAAGATTCAAGGTTATAATTCAAACCTAGGTTTTTTTTAGGTGGAGAAGGAGAGAAAGGGGCAGACGGCGGCCCGGCGGTGGCTCCGGCGGTCAC